AACATGTCATGGAGCCAGTATTTTGACTAAAAAGACTCAGATTTAGAACGCATATTGTTACGCAATATGTATAATATACAGCCCAAACCAATTTTTTCCTGTGCCTTCCTTCACTTAAAAAATTAATGAATCTGTTGAAGTTGTGGTCTATATACTAAAGGGAATCTTAACACTTGTTTAATTACTTCAAGAAGATGATTATCAACTCCACACTTAAACTTTCTGTACAAAGACATCATTATTCTTTATGCTTCATAAAGCTGCGTTTGTCCCTGTAACTTACGCAGGGTATGAAAGTTTCTAAGAAAAATATCCAGAAGTATGGGAAATTGTGTGATCCGTGACATAACTGCACTACTTTTCATGACTTTACTGAGCGAAGGATCAAAACTACAAATATTCAAAAGTCATGAAGCCCTTGTTGCAAATTAAATTGCCCTTACTTTGACTTATTTCCAAAAACCGCATAATTAACTGGACTTCAGTGAAGTGCTGGGTGAAACAGTGCAATTGCATTGAGCACCATAAGCAGACTTCAGTTCAGGAGAAGTTCTTGACAGAAAATATAAATAAAAATACAATAATTTATTATGGAAGATGATACAATATAGTCCACCATTCTCAATGTTAGACACTTACACAAAGAGTTACATCTCGAACAAGCTAAAGATAATAAAGGATGTGAATCAGATGCAATACAAGGCTTTTAAACAGAAAATTACATCTTGCAACAAAGTACCATCTAAAGCTATTTCCAGAAGAATTAGTTTGTGGTTAATTCCCAAAAAGTTGACAGTAGAAGACTTAGCCAATAATTCTTCTGAAAACTGTTATATTATTCTCAAAATTAGTTATTACCTGTCAGAAAAGAGAATGTGACTTGCAAGAATTCTTTCATTATGAAAATCAGTGTTGCTCTCTCCTCCCCACACTCAAGACAAGGGGTTTAGAGAGCCAAAAAAGTCAACCTTATAAAGGTACTTTAAAATAAAATAAACTCTGTGTGGAATGATGATTTACCTGATACAGAAATTCTAGTACTGGTGAAGTGGTATAATAATAGTGCATGACCACACATCAGTCTGAGTTTGACTTCCAGTTTGACTTTCTGCAAAGTTATCATTTACATCAGTGAATAATTAAAAAAAAAAAAAAAAAAAAGGAAAAAGACTCTATCATGCTTGATCTGTATAAATCAAAGAAACACACTGTGGCCAGGCATCTCAAAAGCAAGTCAAGGAGCTCATTAAGTCCCAGCTAACTGGCAATCATTTCCTTATCATAAAACACAGCTCAAGGCAACACAATATAAATAAAAATCAGGTGAGAGTGTCAGCACTTACCAAATCCAATCTTTTAATCACAAAGAGATCTAGGTGGTTGGCAGCAGTTACTGGCCTTGCTCTAAGTTGTAAAGTTGAAAACAAGATCATAGAAGTCTTCAACACCCTAATGAGAACGTCCTGTTAACGTTCACTACCTAAGGGCAAACTTAGGCATTTAGTAAATGTTAAACGGTATGACGAAAAGTAGTTCTTCAAAGAACACCACCTAAAATTCTCCTAGCTATGTGGACTGTGTTTGACAATGTCAGAGAGCTGGTCTGTTACTATTCACTTTATTTTTGATCAAGTTCTTGTGCTGATCAGATGAACAGTTTCTCACTGCTATCACACAAAGGATGGAGACTGGCAACCCGTGTGGACCCGCAGTAACCCACACCCTAGCAGAACTGTCTGATGAGCTGCTGCAAGGTACCCAAGGGTTTAAGAGTTGAAGGGAACGCTCCATTTAGAACAGGCTGGGGAGCAAAAGCTGCTGAAAACCAATAAAAAGTTTCTAAATGCAGAGGAAGTCACAAGGAGGCGGCTGGCAGACAATACCTCCTACTGTTACAAATAGCATCCTTGTCTGCTTAGCAGCCCTGTAGGTGCAGGATAATTTACTCTTATCATCGACATTGTAAGACATTTGTCTGTTTCCTATTTCCAAAGGGCTGGAAGGAACAAAAGAAGGGGGAAAGAAAAAGAGAGTTTTCTGCACAAATTATAACTATACAGATTTGCTGTTAAGGGCAGCTGTTTCTCAGAGCTGCAAAATATACAGAATTTCATATATCTGATTCTCTGCTAGAAGCACAGGCTAGAAGCCAACTCATCAAAACCTCTATCAAAAATACAATTTTAACATCTGTTTGGACTTTCACTTATCTCACTGCTCCCAGACACTATTGATTATCATTATCTGCAAGTCTCTAGTATTCTAAACAGCAGCGGCAAAGGGAAATGAAAGTGAGCATTTTCATACAAAGACAGACAGAGGCTTCTAGGGCAGAAGGAAAACTGCTGGTGCTGACTGAAATCCGAGTCCGACTTCATCTCATCTTCTATAAATACACTGTCAACAGAAAGGAATAAGATACAGCCTAAACTAAAATATTTATTAAAACTATAATGAGAAATAAGGGATTTTGCTGATGGAGAAAAGGCATTACATTATCAGAGACTGGTTGCTGACTGCAATACGCTTCCTGGGAAGGCTCTGATTGTTGTCTTTCTTTGCAACAGACTTCTCCTCATGCCTTTGGTGTATTATGTGCTTGACTGGACCACAGGAACAGGATATAAACTGTATGGATGGAAGCAACTCTGCTGGAGTACATAAAGAATGTTTTTGCTTTAGCAAAGTAATCTCATTCTTGCCTTGGAAAATTAAAATCTTCAGAAGGCCAGAACCCCAAACAAGAAGAGTATAAGCTTGAAGCCTTTCCCTCTCCGTTCTTCCCAGCTTGAAATACGTAGGTGCTCCTATATCTGCTCCCAAAGAGATAAGTCTCTCTTTCTTCCCATCCTCCAATATTTATATGCATCCAGGGTAAACAATGTGTTTACTTTGGAGACCCTCACAGGAGGTTTTAAAACTTTCAGTGCTCAAAACCAGGATGAGCAAGAGAAGAGTCTTCTCTTAATCCCCTGAGTCATCTTTGCACAAATCAGGATGATCAGTCTTTCTCCCTTCCTACCTACTGCAAGATTATTTCCTCTTTAATTTGCAATTCAAAAAAATAGAAAAGAACATGAAAATTCTACCATGGTAGAAGACAAGAATGAGTCACTGTGATGTTTCAGTCTCTCTGTAGGTTATGGACCAAGAATATATAGAAATTTGTTGATATTTGCCAACCAGCTTTGTTCCGTCAACATTCCTACAATTAAGAACCAAAACAAAGAAGCCTTCAAGTACACAAACACAAGAAGCTGGTGGACTGTATCATCAGAATCACTTCCAGACTAAAGAAACAACTTTCTTCTTGTTCGTTTAAAGCTCTAACAGACTAACAGCAGACTAACAGCAGATTTTGACCGTTCACAGTGACATATAAAGTAAGATTTAGCAATCATCAGACACCAGAGGAGGGAGGAATCCATATAGAATTTCTACTATCAAGTAATGGGTTATCTACTTTGCAGAAAAAACCAGCTATTTTTTCATGTTTTCAGGTATTGGAATAGGTTGCCCAGAGAGTTTGTGCAGTCTACCTCTGTTCTTGGAAGTTTTAAGACCTGACTGGATGAAGCCCTCAGTAGCCTGGTCTGTCCTCACAGCTGATTCTGCTCTGAGCAGGAGGCTGGACTGAATGACCTCCTGAGGTCTTTTCCAAAATGAATTCTCCTATGCCTCTATGTTCTAATATATAAAAAACCCCCAAATGAGCAGGATTACCCCCCAAGATTTCAGCGCTGCTTCATCTTGTTACCAACCTGCATATCCTAGAGGCTAGCTTCATGATATGCATGTATGTGAAGTAAGAGGCAAAGAGGAAAAAGATGGGGCAAATGAGAAAAAAAGAGGACATATTTTCTCTTTCCATTCAAAACACCGCTCATTCAGAAGTCTCTTTCCACCCTGTCAGTAAGAGCTCATAGTGAAAACAGAAGTCCTCATGATTTGATCCAGAATCAAATATTAAACCTTGTCATTACAAAAGCTGGGTCTGTGACCCTGAGAAGGATTAAAACCCACAGATGTTTCAATCATAGAACAGTTACATGATTTCATACCACACTACTCCATAAATGAAGTAGGCAACAATGTCCAAGATTCCTCATTTATTCCGGTATTAAGATGGCCCATAACTACAAGCCAGTCTTCAGCATAGTATATGAAAACCAGCTTAGTTTTACTCTGGTGTATTATTTTATAGGCAGTGTAGAAAGTTGTGTGAGCTCAGTTTAAATGCCATGTCCATGGTGGTTGGTTGCGAGACATTCAAAAATACCTTGGTTTTTTCAGGTTTTTCTTCCCTAAGTAATTGCTAATTTATAGTTGTATCACTATGAAGACTGGCCAGATAAAATATTTTTACATACCATTTACACTACTGATTAGCAATAGATTATACATACAAATACAAATGTGGCCGCTGAATAGACTGTTCGTCTTGGCCTTTGTAATTTATGGGGAACATCACTCTTATCCAACTGAACATCAAAGCAAAAATGTGCAAATTAGCTTCATAGATGGTGTTTGAAATGAAGCACATGGAGTTCTAACATGCTGAACTTCTAGACACTGGATGATCAAGAGCATCCTGGATTCAACCATCTGTCACCTATCTATTTATGGCAGCAAATTTCTTTTAAAGATGCATACACATATACACAGATGTATGTACAAATGTACGCACGTAATTTATATGAGAGTATGCAGGTATATAGACCATAGAACATTCTGCAGAATCACCCAAACCCCTGGCGCTGTGACACCGTAAAAGGTATCAGGAGATCCTTGTAGCCTAAGTACCAAATACTCTGGCATATCCCTTTCACAAGTGCTCTTCAGCGACCAAATGAACCGAAGATTCCTTCCTGAGGGGTCTCATCTCCTTGGACTGTGGAGATGTACTTAAAACTGAAGGCTTCTGCACACAGGGAGGAAGCACTTGACCGGGGGGGGCAGATATTTTGAACACAACAGAACCAAGTGATACCAATACTTACTTGGCAGGCATTATAAATCAACTGGTGTTCCAATTTTTTGATCCCTAGAATCTGCTGAAACATTTCATAAAGCTGTTCCTTGCTCAGAATCAGCTCCGATACAGCACTTAAGGCCATTCTATTCGGCTGTTTGCAAAAGTCCTCTTCTCCCCTGTAAATGGCATCGTATTTGGCTAGCCATGAACTTAACACTGTTTCTTTGCTTAATCCATCGATTTCTGGCAAACTTCGGACCCTCTTTTCTATGTTTTTCTTAAAAACATCTCTAAAGTCATTTGCAGAACATCCTCCACTGTGGACCATTCTTGCAACCCGGTCACTCTTGAGAAATACCTTTGAAAAGAAAAGAAAAGAAACAGAAGAAGTTAGGCATGGATACAAATACCAAACAATCCCTTATAAAGGGATTACAAGATAATACTTTGCTTCTATGTAAGATGGCTTTATAAGGAAGAGGTATACAGGACAGTTTGCTATATTTTTCATACAGAAACAAGAGACAATTTTGAAAAAGTAAGTATCTACATTGAACAAGTACTTCAACTAAGTAGCTTTTAAAGTATTCATGCATAAATTTACAACAGGTAAGCTAGAATGAAGTTTGAATTAACATCAGTTAATTTAAAACTTACCTACAAGATTTAATTAATCTTTCCTCCGTTAAAACCACAGAAGTCTAAAGTTACTTGCAAGTAACTCATGGATAAACTACACCATCTCAAAACTCGGGAGTGTCAGTTAAAATATGACCTTTAAAGCCAACCAAGAATCTAATGGAAGATGAGACAGAAATCCAAGAAAGTAACAAAATTCTAGAGAAATACTACAATCAATATTAACAAGAGCAAGAAGAAAGACTCAAAGATACAGAACTGGTTCTACTACTGTAGATACAATACTGGAGACAGAGTATGGGAGTCCCTGTGTAAAAAACCCAAACAAAACCCAATGCAAAAACCCCCTCCCAAGCACGCAAATTACAACAACAGACCAATTAAATCCACATCAGCATTCTGTGAGAGCTTTTCAGTGTTCAAGGATGGTTGCATGAATCTCTTCTTCTAACCCAGACCTTTGCACGGACGATCTTTCCAGCCACTGTGTGTGGCCAGCTCATTTCTAGTAGCAAGCCTCATGAAACTGTTCCTCTACAAAATGCAACCAACGAGATGACCACGGCAGCATGGTCAGCCGTGGAAACAACTGATGTCTGCCTTGGACAAAGGATAAACTGCACCACACCATTGAACGTGTAACTCAGGGACAACTGCCTGGCTGCTGGCAGCAGTGGGAGATGGGTCCAGGCACTCTGCCCTGCAAGGTTTGGCTGCTCGGGGGCTACTTGGGTGCTCCACCAACGCCCCAAGTGCAGCTGAAATGCAAAGAACAGATGGGATACCACATAGTCAAACAGATTACCTATCCATCATCTTTCTGACTGACTGCTCTCTTCAATCAGATGCTATGAAGTGGAAGTTACCTATTCATTTTCAGATAATCATTTTAGTCACCAAGAACTATGAAAATGCAATTAATGGAGATGAGAGCACAGTAGAGCTCTGACCCCATGTGCTATCACGCATTGGAAGATGGTGCACCTAACAACCAACCTAAAATATTACTGTGCTTCATTTGGAAAATACAAAACAGAACAGTAGGAGAGGAGCTAAAAAGCTGAGCAGAGAGGAGTACACAGGTGGAAACAGATAGAGAAAAATGTATTCTAAAAGTTCTGATGCTTGTTGCATGTTGCATGTTTACCTGTAGCACATTTTAAAATGCAGTTACTTACAAAACATATCTTTCAACAGATATCCTAACTGATATTGTATAAAAGGCTGCAGATTAAGTTTAAAAGTACTTGTCCAAATAGATTATTCACAAAAACCACCACCAATATCTGTGTCCTGGTTTTGGCTGGGATAGAGTTGATTTTCCTCCTAGTAGCTGGCACAGTGATGTGTTTGGGATTTAGTATGAGAAGAACATTGATAACATACTCATGTTTTGGTTGTTGTGGAGCAGTGCTTGCACTAAGTCAGGGACTTTTCAGCTTCCCCTGCTCTGCCAGGCACCCAAGAGGCTGGGAGGGGGCACAGCCAGGACAGCTGACCCCAACTGGCCAAAGGGCTATTCCAGACCATATGGCATCATGCTCAGTATAGAAACTGGGGGGAGTTGGCCGGGGGGCAGCGATTGCTGCTGAGGGACAGGCTGGGCATCGGTCAGCAGGTGGTGAGCAATTGCGTCACTTGCTTTGTGTATTCTGTATGTTCTCTTACCATCATCACTATTATTGTTATTATCTTCCACTGCTGTTTTCTTAAACTGTCTTTATCTCAACCTATGGGTTTTACTATTTTTCCGATTCTCTCCCCATCCCAATAGGGAGGAGGGGTGTGAGTGAGCAGCCAGGTGGTGTTCAGCTGCCTGCTGGGTTAAACCACGACAATCTGCTAATCATATTTTATGCTCTAACTGTACCATGATAGATTTCCTTTTCTGGAAACACAAGTATCTAAGTTAAACTCTTATTCATAACGGGACCTGATATGGTTACTGTCAATTAATTCTGATACTGGTTTCCTAAAAATGCTACACAAATATTGAATCACATTTCAAAACAAGTAATAATCAGAAATTCCACTCAGCAATAAAACTTATCAACACAAACAGGTACAAGGATATTAAGCCTTTCCTTGTTTTAATAGTCTGCAGTTACAATTGATTCATTCCTCCAACAGCTTCACTGAAAACAAATAGGAAAAAAACCATTTTAATAAGATGACTTCAAACTGACTTCAGCTACTTTGTATTGTTCATAAACAGCATTAAATCTTCCATCACATTAGTTAGCATAGCCAGTGAGAGCAAACAGATGCAGAAGAATGAAATCAAGAATATTTATAGGCTCTTCCCTCCAAAAATCTCGTGTTTATCCAAGATTACACAACCCTATGTATTGCTAATAACTAGATCAGTGTAATAAAAAAAAAAACCTCCAAAACACACACTGTAAAATCATCAGAATATCATTCACCTTTCATTACCTCCTTTCAGTCATATTATTCAAAACCATTAATCCATAATGCAGGGGCTGAAAAGCTGCTAGCACTTCCCTTGACTTATGAACCAGACTAATTAAAAATTGATTTCTGATTTTGAAGTTGATTTTCTAGGAGACTGCAGGAAAAATCTGTTCCATTTTTTCAATACTTACCTGTGGAAGGGGAGTACTATTGTAACGCTTGGTGCCTGCAGCGCTGACAAAATGGTGGCATGTTCACTCTGGGCAAACCAACATTTTATATAGGTACGTACAAATACAAAATACAATTTACATGTATCCCTGACCACTAAAATGTTCCCCTCTGAAGTGTTTTGGGTCACAAACTGTATTTTTATTAAATATTCAAAAATTATTCCAAGAGAATTCTTTCACAAAAGATATGGTGGATATTAAATGAAATTACTCAAAATATAAACCCAAGATATGAATAATTGACTACAAAAAGTACCGGGCTGGTTCTGAAAAGGAATCCATTGGACCTAAACCTCTTATTGTATTCCTCCTTTTTGAGTGGCAATTTACCAAAATTTTTCCTGAGGGAAAAAAATGTGAACATCATCTTTAAAATGAACTACTTGTATTTGAGATAATTAAAAAATAATAATAACATTTCAAGAGAAAGACTCCATTTTTAAGACTTTGTTTGCAACAGCAAACCATAAAAGAATGGAAGTTCAGTTAGGAGTGTACCATATGTGCCTCAAATTTGACACAGTAAGATGCATTAAAAAGCTATTAAATGTCTCGTTATTCCTGTTCCTGAAAGACATATGGTACACTTCATGTTAAATTCAAAATCCTTTGCTTCAGTTGTATTTCTTGAGATTTGTCTCCTCAGTTTCAAAGCTTCTCTGAGCTGGTTTATGGCTGATTTTTATTTTTTTTTTAAATTCTAAATAGAGGTTTATCGGAATTGCTACTGTATGGAGAATGATATGCCACCAGTTTCATGCCAGTGGAGTTCTTGTTCCCACCATCGTTCCAGAAAGCCCACCTGGCTGAGTGGCTGTGGGTCCAGTGCCTAGGCTAGGACCGCAGACTGGGAAACGCATATGCCTTACAGGACTGGTGGTAACGCATATGCTTTACAGGACTGGTGGTACCTTCTTGGCAGCATTCATTTTTACAATGAGATATATAAGCTTTTATAGTAGTCATAATGTGGTTCACCACTTTTTCTTAAACGTGGATTATATGCACAGCCCAATCATCCCCATCAGGGCAAGTATATGTGATGGTATCTATCTTTAAAGCAAAATACTCATTAAGTACATTCACTAAATTGTTGGCTCCTCCTCTCTTTATTCCTGTATTTGACTGTCTGATCATTAGACTTAGTTCTAATTAAATAATCATTCAGAAACCTCTAGTGTTAAAATGTTATCTCAAGTTTCTCAACAGTAGGGGGAAACTGGAGAGAAAAAAAATATTAGGAGGTTTGAATGTAAAATATAAAATACCAGAAAAAGTTATTGTGGGGATAAAGAAATCTGTTTCCACAGGGAACTAGATTTGGCATAATTGTTTGGAAATCCTCCTTAATTAGAAATAATTTGACAAGAGTCAAAGTTTTTAATGAAGCATTTCTGTTTCTACCAACATTTTCTGGACTTCCTCAAAGAAATCCTGGGGCAATGCTCTTCGGTAGTCAGCATTTGAACTTTTAGTATCATTATTCATTCCTTAAATCTAAGTCAACATCAACTGTTCCTGTTACCCGCTGCTAACAAACTATCAAACACCAAAAAAATCCACTCTATTAATACATAGAATGCATTCAGCAAAAAATAGATAGTTAAAAGACAGGCTTGATCAACCCAACAAATCCATCTTGAGGAACTTTTTCAATTCACATTATATAGAGCCCTTCTAAATACTCTTGGACTGAGCCATCCCTACAGTCTTTGATGGATAAAGTTCTCCTCATACCATAAATGTTCAAAGATGATCAGGTAAGGGATTTTAAAAAAAATCCTCAGTTTCTTCTTCCCTTATAATTACAGTAACAATTATCATTTGCATCTATCTACTGAAGTACAGTTTAAATTCACTTTTTATCCAATCATTACATATATGCAATTTCATCTGTTGCAAATGCTAGCGAAAAGCTTAATTCAAAATAGTCTTTAGCACTAGAGTTACACTTAAAGTATATTTCTGTTTAGAGATGAAAAATCATCATTGAGCAGTGCCTACAACTTGAGAAAATATTGGAACTATTCAACAAAGAACTGCTTTGACATCTTCTAGCATAATAATTGAA